GAAGGGGTTTACTATCAAAATCATGCTCTAACTTCAAACACAAATGATTCAAACTTCTTCTCCTTGATGATGGTTGTGTTGAAAACAAATTTCCACATGAGGAGATTCTATTATAAAAAAATGCCCTCAAATTTTAAAGAAAATCACTTTGGCTCTAATCCCAATGATGTAACATTCAAATAACATTCCAATCAAATAAAATACTAACTAAATCCAAACTGACCCCTAAAAAAAAAAATCAGAAAATCTACAAAATCTAAAAAAGCTCAAGAACCTACATACCAGTTTGTCGAATGACAAATTTAAGCATGATCAAAACTCACAAAAAGTCAATATCATATCAAGTGTACCCACATGATCACTCTAAAAAATCTCACGTCAATAAGAACATAACATGCACCATCTAACAAGAAGCTTTGCAAAAAAATAACATCATTATATTACAATTAAGGCCAATGCTCGGATGCTCCCCAAGGGTTTAATATATGGGTTGTGAATCACAAGGTACATCTGATAAGGAACGATGCCCTATATTAGCCAAAGTCAACTTCATATTAACTCTTAGGTAATCATTCACAATGTACATCTGACAACTATCTAAAACTTGCCCAAAAAGCTACTAAAAGGTGCAGAATAAAAGGTTGCAGGAAATTAAGCGTGGACAGCAACCTGAGTTAGACATATAAGTGGCCAAACTAGTAGGATAGGTATGAATTTGAAGCAACACTAAATAGGGAACAATGCATATGTTAGATGCAAAAGAAATTACTGCAGGAATTACTGGACAGTAGAGCAAAAACAGACAATAAAACTCCCTAGATGATGTTATGCATGCAAACGATTCTAAAGGTAAAGCTAACCTTAGACTCTCCTTGGATGCATCTACGTCACAGAGCCAAAGCATGCTAAGCCATGCTCTAGATACCAAGATGATGATGAACCAACATGGGAAACGTGAATTGACACTTTAAGATTATTTTGAAAGAGGCTTTATTAAAACTTGCAACTTTAACCAACTAAATATAGCGTTACGTCTAAGTATTAGAGTATCGAAGAAAATCGGCGATAGAATTAACGCGATAGGCAATTCGATTACATTTCTTGCAGGATATCCAAGAGTGTCTTGCACTAAGATAACCAAAAGATAACTAATAAATGCATATAAGCCTTACTAAAAGCCACACGTGTTAAAAATTTTAGACCATTCACTTCTTTGGTGGTCCGTCATATCTGCTCTTGCCATGTGGAGGTAGCGGAAGCAGATGGTCGCAAGAAACTTAGCGATACCACTAAGACACATTGTTGATGCCCGAGAGGACTCGTCGCCGGAAAGAAGCGGAGTAGTTTGGAGAAGCGGGCTTGGCGGATGACTGTTCGTATGCATTCCACGTGTAAGTCGGATGAATCTTGGTCGTCGAAGGCGATCCACTATCGTGTCGGCAAAAAATCCGATCCAAGTAATCTTCGACGGTATTGTTCAGAAGACCGAATCCCACGTCGAAGAAAGGAGACCTTTTAAGATGTGAGACTGAAGTTACACTATACTTATATTTAGTGCATCGTATTAGTAATTTTTGTAGTACACCTATGTAGCAAGAGCAGTGAATCAACGCGCTGGATCCGACCAGTCCAACCATGGATTGAAGACGGAGCAATTACCACAGCAACCCAACAATGGGAAGAAAAGAGGGAGGAGGCGCAGTCGGCTTGGGGAGAAGCGGCTTTAGCCAACGGTGAAGGAGGAGGCGCGTAGGTTGAGCGGAAAAGGGTGAGCGGGTTAATTAGAAAAAAAAAAACGAAAGTTATCTCCTAGTTTAAGGGATAAAGAGGGAAAATATTTTGAGTATTTAAAATTTTGAATTCCCAAATTAAAGGGAATTATTGGCATTCAATGGCGAGGAGGAGAATAAGCGGCTGGCGGCAACATAGGTGGGCTAGGTTTGTGAAAACTGAAATATTTTTCAGTTTTAATTGAAATTGGAGGGATTTTATTTTTGAAATTATAAGTTTAAATTTTCAAAGTTAGGAAGGGGAAAATAATTGGTGCATTAATGGGTAAGCATCAAGAGGGAGGAATCGGCCGACCATGTAGAGAGGGGAGAGATTGGAGCTAGCGGGTAGGCCACGGCAGATGTCAGCGCTTACAATGTGTTTAGAATTCTATGCTGTCGAAAAATGTATTGTGTGTTTCATAATACACTATAATTAAATGAATAAAGACATGGGAATTTGAATATCACAAAACTTTACTCTCCAAACTTTTTCTCGATCTAAAAACCAAGACATTCTAAATCTTCGAAACCTGCTTGGAATTACTTGGACCGTACATTTTTAATCAAAGAAATCAACACAGCCAATTTGTTTCCATTTGCCTTTTATGTAGTGAACTTTTGTAAATGGCAGTGTTACAATTGTTACGTTTGATTGCTGGCAACAACCATTTGCTATGTGATTATGAGGAATGGGCGCAACTTCAAATAATTGGTTCTATGGCGGAGTTATCCTAACTAATATACGCTAATGATAAATTGAATAACCTTATGCATTACTTATAATAAAAAAAATGATATAAGGTTAAGGAACATGAGCATTAAGCTAGGGAACTACCAAAAAAATTATCCTCCTAAGTTTATCTCCACACATAGACCATGACATTAAATATTTTTTATCACATAGACCTAAATGGCAACTTAATCTTTGACTTACAGGCGTTATAAGCTCATACCATTGTTGGTGCTTTGATGTAACGATAAAAAACTTTACTTTTAAATTTAAACTCCTATTATGATCTCATCTAACTCAGAAACTTTTGAATAAGCATATACAATAGTTAACACGCACATTATAATACATTGTGCTTCCAATGACGCACATGCAACGGACACCTTTTAGCTTCCATAATTAGCTTGGGCTTTAGCGTACACAATGTTCAAAATAAAACACTCATTAGTATTTGCGTCTAGCGGAAGCTCTTAATAGTCCATAAGTGTCGTTTGCAACAAAGCCTATATTTGGAGCTACGCCTTTTGTTTTTAAATTTTAAATATTATACTAGTATTAATATTTATATTTAATTGATTCGTTTTGATTTAAGTAACTTAACACGGTCAACAAATTACATGTAAACTGTGCATTTAATTTTCAAAAAAAATTGAACATAAGTAATTTTATGAAGGAATATTTTTTAAGTTTCCTCAAATCAGTTAGTGCCCACTTTTCGTTATTGTAAATTCACCATTTATGCTGACGATGTCCTCATCACATTTACTCATTTGAAAGGAAAAGGTAAAATTGTTTAAATGCATGCTTGCTTAAAAATATTTTAAAGAATGTCAAATTAGCTCAAACTGCTTAAAAAAATTGGCATGAAAAATATGTAATATTGACAAATGAAGTTGAAGATGATTCTAAGGCATGCTTTTTTTTTTTAAAGCAAATGAAGATAATTGTGAGTTATGAGATGATATTGATGAAGGAAATGATGCTTTTTTAACATTTGATGATGATGATGATATGACTAGAAAGACTAGTTTAATTTCTAACAAAATAGTAGACTGGAAAAGCGGTTACAATATTTTGAATTTTGAGTGGTTGGGGTGTTGATTACTTGAACCTAATATCACTTTGGATGTTTTCATTACATGATGATTTATCTTTCTATTTAATAGTTTTTCATATTAATATATATTTCATTTACAATTATTTAATATTATATCATTTTTAAAACGACGCACCCAGCACCATGCACTGTGGCTTCATGAGAAACTTTGTGTTATGGTATACCATTCATTGTTGGCAAGTATGTTGAAAAAAAAAAGACTAGTCCAAATATATATGAAATATTTATCATCAACAAAAGTAAAATAGGGTCATGAAAAATTAAATTGTACAAATTCAAATCATTTTTCTATCAAGCCAAACAATCTTGGTATGACCAATGATTGAAATATTTAAAACCCATTAATGGAGAGAATGATTACATAAGAAAATAAATAGGTGAGGAGAAGACGGGAACATATGTTAGCTATAAGTTTTATAAGTAGTAAAAAGTTAAGGGTTTGGCACGACTGGCTTGATCTCATATGATTCTAAATATAAGCTAAATCATTAGATCATCATCAAATGATAAAGAATAAATAAAAAAATTATAAGTTCACTAAGACATCTGGGTCGGCCAAAACATTATATATTCTTGTTGATGAGCAATAAACAAGAGAGAATATTTGTATAAAGGGTATGGGTGTGTGCCTTGCAAACAAAAGTGCACATAAGTATGTGCCAAGTTGTTATCAAGCTAACCATGATCAAGCTGGTGATTGCTATTGTTCAGCTCATCATTAAATTGGCCCATAAACACTGTACATTATCAATTGTTTTGAGTTGTGAACAACCCAACCTTCAGCAAGTTAAAGCACCAAATACCAAGTATTTACAAAGAAGCAGACAGCTAGCCACATTGACGGCCAAGAAATAAGAAATACTGCAACAAATGAATAAAAGCATAGAAGTCCACAGAAGCAAAATATTGACGATGAAATCACAATGCGGCTTCAGCAAGGATAAGTAAATTTTGATCCGATGAAATCACAAAAAGTTGGCAAAAAGAAATGCAGCTTCTGATTTTTCTTCAATTCCAAAAAAAAAATGAATAAAAAAAAAACAATTCAGCAGACAGAAAATAGCATGAACATTGAAGATGGGATTTTAAAATAAGAATATGCACCTCTTCATCTTTAAATTTTACTGCATTTATAAGGAAAAGCTGAAAATATACAGCAATAGTAAATCACAAAAACAATTTGATTTCCAAATTGAGAATATAGTTTCAAGATTTTATAGAAAAAAACTCTTTTATCATCCATAATTGACACTTTTGGTCGGTCAATAAGAATTAAGGGCAACATTCTCACAGAAGATATTATACAATAAACAAAGTTGGGGCTAAAAAATCAAGATAAATACTTTCCATGTTACACTACAATTAACTAGAAATAGCTTACCTCGTTAACTCATCGGGATCAACATTTGACCACTCCGCTTCATCAACTATCTCATGGATGTGTCTGATTCGGTATTGATATTCCACGGACTCCAGAAGCTCCAAATCATCACTTGAAAAGGAAACTCCATTAATAGAAGCAAACACCTACACGATAGAATAACAAACTCTTCGATTATATAAACATAACAGTGAAAAACTACAAAAAATCATACATCAATTAATACATGTAACCAAGATGGCATTGCCAATAGAAAGCAAATAAGATATATTTAAAATTACACTAACCCTTCCATTAGTGATTATAGCATCTGAACCAAATTCAAGCCCCAGTTGTTCATGCAAAAAATAAGAAACCTACAAGCCATGAAGCAATGTAAGAACTATTATTCTTAAAAAGGGAACCGATATTAAACATGGTAAGAACTAGTCAATATACGTTTGAATTAAAAGATTATTAAACAACAATAACAATGAAAATGAATCCCCAAACGAGAAATTAATACATAATTTAATTCAGAAGTTAAAGAGTTGAAGAAAAGTCTCCGTTCAAAAAATACATACAACTTATCGCCCCCAGACAGGTCATTAGGTCAATATCAGCAAAACCTGGCATAATCCAGTAATTCACTAGTATTCTTAAATACAATATCGAGGTTCATCTCCAACAATTACAGATATTAAGTTAACCGCCATTCCTAACCATAATTCAGCACAAAAAAAAGCGGAAACCTAAATCAATGAAAAAAGAGCTAAAAGAATACATCAAAAATATATATTTCCCGTTAGTAAATTTTTAAAGAGAGAGTATACGAGGGCCTCAACAATAATGATGTTGAAAGAAAGTAATAGCAATTAAGAATGAGACTATGAGAGCAGTCGAATCTACAATGGAGAAAAAGGATTCATGTAGCCGACCCCACGTAGTGGGATAAAAGCTTGATGTTGTTGTTGTTGTTGTAGCAGTCGAATCTACAATGGAGATAGCACCGTCCAAAGATGTAAAAAATTGTCAGCAAAACATTTTAGAAAATTTAGATCAGTATTAATGTGAAGAAATAAAATATTTGTCAAAAGGCAATACCAACAAAATCTCAAAGTTGTCAAAACCAAATCAGCCATACCAAAAAAATGAGAGGGTCAAGATTTAATGGTTCGATCAGGATGAACCAGAGGTTGAACAAGATGACTTAATAAATATTAGAATTATTTAAATAAGATCAAAATGATATAATAATTATGTAATAATATAAATTTGTGACAAAAAATAAATAGAATTCATACAAAAATAATATCTTTTGTAATTTTAAATTAATTAATTTGGATTCATAGCAGGTAAGTTTACAATGGAAGCTATATATTTTTTAGAGGAATGATGAAGTTTAGTGAGTGTAATAAGGATAAACATATGGTATTTATTGATTTAGAAACAACATATGATGAAATTCTAAGAGAAGCGCTCTGGAGAGTTCTAGAAAAGAAATGTGTTAATAATACTTATATTCAAGTCATTGAGCATATCTACACAGGAGCTGCTATTTGTGTTCAAACACAAGAAGGCTAGACCAAGTATTTTCCTATTTGAGTTGGATTACATCAAGGTTCAGCTTTAAGCCAATATCTTTTTTGATTTAGCCATGAATGCACTCAATAGACATTCGTAAGAGGACGTACCTTGGTGTATCTTTTTGCTAATGATAATCCTCATGTTGATAAGACTAGAGAGAGAGCTGATGAAAAATTGAATTACAAAGGTAAACTTTACAGTCTAAAGGTTTCGTTTGAGTAGATCTAAAATCTAAAATATGGTGTAATTTTAATAGTAATAGATTTAGTTGTGGGATTATGACATTAAAAATAGTAGGCATTTTAGATATCAAGAATCTATTGTTCAAAATGATGGAAAAATAGATAAGAATATTATTAGTAAATTCAAATTCAAGTTGGATGGCTGAAGTGGAGGAATGCAGTGGGTCTTTTGTATGATAGAAAAGTACCCCCAAACTTAAAAGGAAAATTTTATAAGAAGGTGGTGAGACAAGTAATGATTTATGGCACAAAATGTTGGCTATTAAATAAAAAGCATAACATTAAGTATTGCAAAGATAAGGATGCTCAGGTGGATAACTTGCTTTACACTTAGAAGCAGAATGCAAAACGAGCATAAATGTGAAAAGATTGGGGTAGTTCCTATGAAAAATAAGATTAGTGAGAGTTGCCTTAGATGATTTGATCACATAAGATGTCGGCCTTCGGATGACCCTTTTAAGAGGGTAGATGTATTAGATTTGGCCTATGTTAAGAAATGTAGTAGAGGAAGACCAAAAAAACTTTCTTATAAAGTATTAAAAATGATATTTTTATTATATTTAGATGAGAATTTGACTCTTAATGGAACATAATAGAGAAATAGATTCATGTAGTTGACCACACGTAGTGAGATAAAGGCTTGTTGTTGTTGTTGTGAACTTGAGAACTTCAACATATTTATTTAATCTCACATCACTTGAAAACTTTCTCTTAGTATTGTGGATATAGCTTTTTGGGTTTGCATATGTTAAGAATTCACATGAGGTAGTGGGGTCATGTGAAAATGCTTGGTTGGTGTTTTCAAGGAAAATAATTATTATAATAATTTCAAAGAGATGGCAAAATAGATGAGAATATTATTAGTAAATTCAAGTTGGATGGTTGAAGTGGAGGAATGCAGTGGGTCTATTGTATGATAGAAAAGTACCCCCAAATTTAAAAGGAAAATTTGATAAGAAGGTGGTGAGACATGTAATGATTTATGGCACAAAATGTTGGCTATTAAATAAAAAGCATAAAGTTAAGTTAAGTGTTGCAAAGATAAGGTTGCTCAGGTGGATAACTGGTCTTACACTTAGAGATAGAATGCAAAACGAGCATAAATGTGAAAAGATTGGGGTAGTTCCAATGACAAATAAGATTAGTGAGAGTTGCCTTAGATGATTTGGTCACATAAGATGTCGGCCTTCGGATGACCCTTTTAAGAGCGTAGATGTATTAGATTTGGCCTATGTTAAGAAATGTAGTAGAGGACGACCCAAAAAACTTGCTTATAAAGTATTAAAAATGATATTTTTATTATATTTAAATGAGAATTTGACTCTTAATGGAACTTAATAGAGAAATACATTCATGTAGCTAACCCCACGTAGTGAGATAAAGGCTTGTTGTTGTTATTGTTGTTGTTGTTGTGAACTTGAGAACTTCAACATATTTATTAAATCTCACATCACTTGAAAACTCTCTCTTAGTATTGTGCATATAGCTTTTTGGGTTTGCATATGTTAAGAATTCACATGAGGTAGTGGGGTCATGTGAAAATGCTTGGTTGGTGTTTTCAAGGCAAATAATTATTATAATAATTTCATGCTTATTTTAAATTAAATTGTTAAGTGCAATATTTTATTTAATATTTTGTCCTAAATATATTAAATTAATTTATTAAATTGTTTAAATAGTCCAACAATTGAACCGACCAGTTCAAAGGATCCGAATACCAGTTCATTGCTTAAACCAACAATTTTGACATGTTCATTCATATTCGATGCAAAGGACTTTTTTAAAAATGATCAGACTAATCATATGACCGGTCCATAGTTGAACCAGCCGAACTACTTGGTTCGGTCCAATTTTTGAAACCTTGCATAATCTTGATCAACACGAAAAATGTACCAAAATCTCAACGGGAAAATTCCAAATTCAAAAGAGGAAAAAGCCACTAAATTAGACTTTCCAACAAAAGAAATATGGCACGCTATGCAAGGAAAAATTATACATTATAAAGTGAACGAAAAGACAACTCAAAATAAAACAACCAGCTTCAGCTCAACGGAAGAATGGTGGTCTGATGTTCAAATTTTAGAATGGAAACCAGTTATAAAAGATTGCCAAAACAGTCCATCTTACCTTTTCAGGAAATGAAACAACTCCGTTGCAATTACACACATACCTTTTCCAAATGATTAATTCTCGTAGCCGACGAGAATTTTGAAAGGTGGGATCTAAGATCACCAGATGGCAACTCATTTGCCAGAGCTAGCTCACAAACTTTGTCTATGAAGTTAATCAGGCTGGTAGTATCAGATGACTGTGCTTGCATGAATTGACTTTCATAGACGGAGCAAAGTTGGTCCAAGAAGTTCAAGACATTGTGCTTGTCACTGACTCAAAAATAGTTTATATAAATAAGCAATAAGCATATCTAACATTTAAAAATCAGCCCTGATTAATAAATCATGACAATTTACCCAAAAATTGATGATGCTTTATCAAATATTTCTGCTAAAAGAAGAGCAGGAGATAAGCCCAAGCCATCTCCATTCATGAGTACTCCAACACGGGCTTTTCTAGACTCAGCCATCTAAGAATTATCATATAAATTAGCAGAGATCAACAAACATTGTAAAGGAAAATAAAAATATCATGCAGAACCAAACCAAGTAATGTAATCCTTCACGGAGTAATTTTATCCCTTTCCTTGATGTCACATTAACAGCAAGAAGATGTGTCACTGGCTTTAAATCATCTAAAGCTGAAATAACAAATTGTATAAGTTGCAGGTATAAACATTGTTACATAAGTCTGCAAAAAGAACCAGATATTTTAAACATCTTTTAAGCTTACTTCCAGGAGAATGCAAGTAGCTGATGTCATGTAGTATAGAATCCTTTGCAATGTATGATTTGACAAGTGAAATAAATTTGTTTATTTCTTTCCCGCCATTAATGACCTTGAAAAAGGTAATATATGACATTTAAACATACGTAGTAGTTATAAGGAAGGATGCGTTATCTCAATTTCTTACCTGAGGATTATAGCGGTGATAACCATTTTCAGAGAGAAACTTCTCTAAAACATCTGTGTTTGAGGTAATTTGACCATAGTAAACTTGCTCCTGAATCCTAGGAAGCTCCTCATTCATAGCACTTATAGAGGAATCCTACATGTACAGCATATGAAGAGAAAGAACATTATTGAAGTTTACCTAGAGAAGACGCAACACCAAAATAATGCAGAGAAAGAAGCAGCTAAAATTCATACGAAAAAAAATAAATGTAATAATATCCAGTCAAGCTGCGAGGTTTATCTATATAATATCTATATAATTGGGTACGCCTACGCTACCAACTGCACATTTTCACTTATAAGAGTATCAGCAAAGTGAAACGCAAATTAGGGGTTTTTGAATACTCCTAGCTAACTGATATTCTATTATTGCACTATTATTGTTACTCCGGCTGAAGAAAAATTAGAGTTCATATTTAATCATTTATTCAAGCAACCACTGAAATTGTAGCAGATGAGCAGTACAGCAAATGGATAAAATACCAATATGACACTAACATAAGTATCAATTGCTCCAAGTAGTAACAAGGATAAAAAAGCTAAAAAATCAATGGAATAAAGACTAGGTACTGTGTTTCCATCAAATTTCCTTTTAAGTAAAAGAGAATCTGAAAACTAGCAGCCAGATAGCTTCAGAGCTTTTTTATTTAAGATTGCAAATAATTCCATGCACTTCTCGAAAACAATGGATATGAAAAATATCAAGATAAATTTGACAAGGTTAATAAGCTTAAATATTCAACAGGTATTACCAGCATAAGTGAGATCATGGAAAGCATCATAATGATCCTCTTCCAATAATAAAATCGAAGATTCACTTAAAGCCTTACCATGGATCAACTTATAACTAATAAGCAACTGAAAATTACACCATGATAAAGTATAGATTTTAGAATATTGGTGATACAGTTTAAGCCTCTTAATCAAATATATTTCCATCGCAATTGCAAACGGGTAACTTGCTAGACACAGGATACTCCAAATAGTTTTAACATCTAATCATTACTTCAAAAGATGACCACTTCCAGAACTCTTTCCTCCTTTACTTTTAGTTTCACCTTTCCAAACAACTGTTACTAATTCAGGAGGTTCTCTACAAAATTGGGCCAATCTCCCCAGCTTGGTTATTTAGGTCAATTTGAGTTGAATTGGCTTCTCTAAGTTAACCTGGCTATCAGGTTAAATTATTTTGGACTAGCAGGATCAATGAGTAAAACGACATTGGATTTAATGGACATACATGGAACTACATTCAATTTGCAACATTTTAAACTCATAGAAGGGCTTCAATCAAGAATAATAAGTACAAAGTCACCAGGCAATGCCAAAACAAGAAGATGCCAGATCACCAGAGGGCTAATACCGCTTTCCCTAGTACCCAAAAGTTGTTAAAATGCTTAGGTATTTTCATTTTCTTCTTCAGTGGATTAACAACAACAACAACAACAATATCAAGCCTTTATCCCACTACATGGGGTCGGCTACATGAATCTTTTTTCTCCATTGTGTCCTATTAAAAGTCAAATTCTCGTTTGAATCTAATAAAGAAAGATCATTTCTAATATTTTCTAACCAAGTCTTTTTAGGTCTGCCTCTACCTTTCTTAACATAAGTCAAATCTAAAACCTCTACTTTTCTAATCGGGTCATCGAAAGGCCACCGTTTTATGTGACCAAACCATCTAAGGCGACTCTCTCTAATCTTATCTTCTACTGGAGCTACTCCAACCTTTTCACGTATATGCTCATTTTATATCCTAATCTAAGGGTAAAGCCACTCATCCACCTCAGCATCCTCATCTCTACCACACTTAACTTACTATTATGCTTCTCTTTTAATGGCCAACATTCACCACCATAAAGCATTGCAGGCCTCACCACCATCTTATAGAATTTTCCCTTAAGTTTGAGGGGTACTTTTCTATCACACAACAAGCCCGATGCATTCCTCCACTTCAACCATCCAACTTGAATTCTACTGATAATATCCCAATTTATTTCACCATCACTCTGAACAATAGATCCAAGATATCTAAAACTTTATTTTCATTTAGAGTGCTAAGGTCACTACAGTCAATCTTATTTTCAAAATCTTCATTAAAATGTTTAGTAAAATATCTCATCCACCTTTGTTGAATATCTTTTAAGAAAAGCATTTTTTATCTTCATCCTTAATACACTTCACTTGAACTAAATCCTTACTACTCATATCTCTTTGTTTGGCAAACTTATACATATATCTTTCTCCCTCCTTAGTATATAATATATATTATATAAATCACTAAAAGCTAAGGTCTTTGCATCGCATATTGCTTTCTTAGATTCCTTATGAGTATTTTTATATCTTTCCCAATTATCAGAGTTTTACAATTAAACCAATTTTTATAATCTTATTTTTAATCTTTTCTTGCACTTTTGGATTCCACCACCAACTATTTTTAATATTAGGATATTTTCCCTTTGATACTCAAAGCACATCTTTTGCAATATTCTTCTTAATATCACTAGCCACTTTTTTCCACATAACATTAACATCCTCATGCACAGATAAAATCTTAAGATTTAAAATCTTATTCTCAAAAATTTTTTTGTTAATATTTTTTTAAATGCCCCAATCTAATCCTAGAATATCATTTTACTTTATTTTTTTTATTATCTGTCCCTTTATCTTAAAGTCCAAAACTAATAATTGATGTTGGACACATAAATTTTCACTCGGAATAACTTTACAATCTTTGCAATCTAAACGATCTAATTTTCTTATAAGAAAATAGTCAATCTGAATTGTACTATAGCCATTTTTATAAGTGATGAGATGCTCCTTCATTTTCTTAAATAAGGTATTAGCAATTAAAAAATCATAAGCTAAACAAAAATCTAATATGGTCTTGCCACCTTCATTTGTCGTTCCAAACCCATGACCACCATGAATGCTTTTAAAATTATCTACCTCTCTACCAACATGTTCATTTAAATCTCCTCCAATAAAAACTAATTCTTCAAGATGTATCTTTTATATTAATTCTTCTAAATCAGTCCAAAATTTTAATTTTGAACTCATATTCAAACCTACATGAGGAGCATAAGAACTTATAATATTAATAATTTTAGCATCAACAACAATCTTTAAAGCTATAATTCTACCTCCAATCCTATTAATTTTTATAACATTATCCTTCAAACTCTTATCTATAATAACACATACACCATTTCTGGTACAACTCCTACCCGAATACCAAAGTTTAAAACCTAAACCATCAATCTCCTTAGCCTTCTCTCCAACCCATTTAGTTTCCTGAATCCACAGAATATTTAACTTCCTATGAATCATAATATCTATTAATTTCATTAATTTTCTTGTAAAAGAACCTATATTCCAAGTTTATATCCTAATCTTAGTTTCATAGACTAGCTTCTTTGCCCACATTCATCCTTGATGTGAGAGCCCTTGCTTATTTATTACTATACCCGGGCGCCGGTGCAGCGGCCCTTGCACACTTGTCACTATATTCAGGTCATACAGTGCGTATCTTCCAAGGGACGCCCTAGCATTAACAAAATTTCTTAAAAGATTTATATCATTATTATTAGACAAGTTTTATGCTGGTTGTCGACTACCTAACGCAACCCTCTACTTTTCTCATCCAGGACTTGGGACCTGGCAACGACAGTGTTTCTTCAGTGGATTAAGCTAATTAAAAAAAAATGTATCTTGAGTTTGAAATCAAAAGTTTGTTCAATAGGAGCAATCCTTAAAAGAGTTTTGCCACAAGCGCTCTCCCTGACATAGTCCTTGGGATCCTTATAATTATTATTATTTTTATTAGGACCTCCTTTTCTTTTCATTCTTTTTGCAGGACTATCTTGAAATTAGGAGTTCGTCAGCTTTATTAAAGACTAACCTATTGAAAACTCACACCAATTTTTTGTTCAGTTCATTTAAGGTTTTGACCTGATTTTGGGAGGATTCCCTATTTTGGGGGGGATTGGAGACATGGAGGTGATCATAATGAAACCTAGGACTCCGCTGCAATCAACGCCAAATTCCAGAAGCCATCTCCAGCAGCAGTCCAAGGATGGCAGCAGAAATTATTTGTGGTTGGGAGGGTTCTGGTTGCAAGGGATGGGCTAGGGAAACTTCTGGGGTGCTTATCCAATGGAGTTGAAGTAGTCCTTCCATGACCATTGGCGTTCAGTAGCTTCTTCCTTGCATTTCTTGCTAATGCCTGGCAGAAACAACAAGGGAAGAATTTTGAGCAGGTATCGTCCACAGGTGGGAGACAAGTCCAGCCAATACTTTGTATATTCTTGTTTCTCCTTTAAGTTCACTTGCAGGTTCTTGGAGGCCCAGTGGCATTAGAGGTTGTTGAAAAGAGGGAGATGGTTGTATTTTAAGAAATTTTAGTTAACTTCAGGTATTTAGTCTGAAGCAAGAAATACTCAAATCAGGTTCTCTATTTCTTGTTTCATTTATATTTAGTTTTCTCCCTGATCAGCAGTAATCCACGTAGTTTTTTCTTTGAATTCACAGGTTGCTGGACTTTGGGCAATCCGAGGACAGCCAACAGCAATCTTTGGCATGAACTTTCAGCAATCCGAGGACAGCCAACAGCAATCTTTGGCATGGGGAAGAAGGGAACAAGATAGGGGTTGCGGTAAGGCCTCAATGGTGGCAGCTTTCAGCCAAGACATTTGACTACCATCTTCTTGAATCAAGAAGTTCCTCCATCAGGTTCTCTGTTGTTTAATTGCTGGCTAACCTACCTATTTCTCCTTGGAATTACTTGCAGGACTGCTAGATTTTTCCAGCAGATTTTGACCTCTGAAGAATTAAAAATTTTGGAAAGGCAACAGCCATTGTAATAAGAACTTGGAAGTTTCCAGCATGCCCCGGTGGTGGCTGAAATTACCAAAATATGAGAATGCATAGCAGCTTTCTTGGCTCAAATACTCGTCTCTCGGTGTAGAATTTTTCACACTTACACAATAATTCATTGGGAAGAAAGTCTTTGTGATTGTGTAGCTTCACACCTGGTTTCTTTCTCAGTTTTCAGTCATTGGCAGATAATTTTATATAATTATTGTAGCTTTCTGA